CTGATTGGATCCTGGATCCTGCCTGCTTTTTAGTTCAGTCCTGGTCCTCCCATGGTTGCATGTTTGGTTCATCTGGGCATGCTCAGATTAGGTTATCTCCAACCAGAGCGTCTATGGCCACTGAAAAACAACTCACAACTTTGTTACATAAAATTTGAGCCAGATTGTTTACGTGGTTACTCTTTTCCTCTTCCTGAATTGGGAGCATGATGCTCTGGGTCGTTAGATGTTACAAGACCACCATAAATTCAGTAGTGCTTTTAAATTAATTACATTTATTATATAAGGCCCAAGGGAAACTATCCCCTTAGCCCTCTGAAGGTTTACTGAAAAATCACAAAAAGCAGATTAATTGGAGGAACGTCATACAAAATTTATTAAGCGTGTACATGGAGGATGACAGGAGTAATTACCCACCCTCCCCTATTAAGGTTACATGCCATTTTTTGTTGCCAAACCAAAAGAGGCTCCTCCTGTCACTGCAGCCTGAGACAGGGAAGGCCCAAGGAAGCTTTAAGGACAGAAAAGCCAGCAAATCTGGAGAACAGTGAAAATAGTCCCTCAAATCTGTTCTGCCCTTTCATTTCCAAAACCGCAGTTTTTTATTTGTTTGTTTGTTTGTTGCAGTTTTTTTTGGCCAGGGCTGGGTTTGAACCCTCCACCTCCGGCATCTGGGGCTGGTGCCCTACTTTTTGGAGCCACCCGCACCGCCTCCAAAACCGCAGTTTTATACACAAAAGTTCAAAGCAAAAACCACCGTTTTAACCCTTATCTTAAACAATGATAATCAACAATCAACACAACCCATGACCTGTTAACAACATTTTTAATTCAAGAGTTAATCTCCGAAATCAATGGTCCTAAACTACTCAATATATATGTCTTTAGATTGGAGCTAACTGTACAAGAATGCATGTTGTTACCAGACTATCAGATGACCGATACATTATCAAAAATGTCACCACAATGTGTACCATGTTACTGTGGCTCATTATCTTCATGTTTCTAGAAATTGTGATAGAAAGAACAATGTAAAGCCAATCAGTGGCTTACATTATTTTGATAAGCCAGTATAAATTCTTTTCTCTTTTCTTTCTTTCTTTCTTTTTTTTTTTTTTTTTTGAGACCTATGCTCACTCTGTTGCCCCAGGCTAGAGTGTCATGGTGTCAGTCGAACTCACAGCAACCTCAATCCTCAATCTCCTAGCTTGAAGCAATTTTCCTGCCCCAGCCTCCTTTGTAGCTGGGACTACAGGCACCTGCCACCACACCCAGCTATTTTTTTCTCTTTTTATAAGAGGCAGGTCTCAAACTCCTGAGCTCAAGTGAGTCACCGGCCTCCCATAGTGTTAAGATTACAGGTATGAGCCACCCCACTAGGCCTCAGTGCAAATTCTTTGTTTTTGTTTTTGGTTTTTTTTGCAGTTTTTGGTCGGGCTGGGTTTGAAGCAAATTCTTAACAAGCAATTTAAGAACTGCTCCTTCTTTTTCCCTTTAAAAACTCACTGTAACTGCTGCTAATTGGAGCATATTCTCAAGGCAAATTGAATCTGTCTCCAGTGTTGCAATCTTCAAAGGTGCTCAAACAAACTCTTAACTATGAAAATAAATGATTCAAATCTAAGCTGTTGGATCTTTAAAATATTTGAGTCTTCAGGGAATGTGATTATGGGACATGAGTCACGTAAACGGGCAGCTGTAACCTTTGCTTCTCTGATAATAGATTACCCTTTTTTCCTTACCTAAAACACTTTCCTTCCTCTCAACTGTCAATCTTCATTATAGACTAATTTCCCTGTTACGTTTCTACACAAAGACTTCCTGACTATCACTTTGACTAAGATAAAATGTCAAGTGCATTCTTAAATTGAAAAGGATATGAAAGCAAGCTACAAAGAAAACAGGCTGCAAATAATTAAATTGGAATTCACAAACTAGCCTTGTAGAGAAAATGTTATAATCCTATTAAATTTCTTTATTCTCTAACACTGCTACCTATATATAAATGTTAGGTAGTTGAAACCTCTGGCTCCTCTAAGGCCAAAGGCCAGTGCTCTGCCTTGGTCCTGCCTCAAGCAATTGCCAAACCTGGGAAGAACAAAAAGGGTGCCCTGTCTTGGTGCTGCCCCACCTCCATTTTTCCCAAAGCAACTGTCCTATCTGGGGGAAGGAGGAACTCCTGCTAATTTGCAAAAAAAAATTCAGGGACTCCCTGGGCTCATAGGCTGGGCAGCACAGGCACAACTGGAAATGGAAAGTGACCTTAAAATAACCTAAGGCTAATTAACATGTTATTAACTGGTTTCAGGGTGACTTCTGGACCAGGAGGAGGGTCTATTTAGATAATAAAAGAAGACCCCCGCCATAACTTGTTGCCTTTTTGTTGCAACAAGTGGTACATTTGTTGTCTGTGGCAAATGTATCTTGCTCTGCACACCTATCATTCTCTTCCTCAACAAACTGGGTTTGATGCTTGCCTTGTTTTTGTTGGGTCTGGCCGTTCTTCTGCCAAGAGCGCACCAAGAACTGAGAATGAGATTGCCAATCTCCAACCATAACTTTTGACTTCAGAACACTTTCCCCATTTCTCTGGAATCCCTGCTTCCTGGGTGGCTATTCCCAAACTCTTGCTTTAATACACTCTTTAAGGCTCGGTGCCTGTGCCTAAAGCAGCTAAGGCGCCAGCCACATACACCTGAGCCTGCAGGTTTGAATCTAGCCCAGGCCCGCCAAACAACAATGATGGCTGCAACCAAAAAACAGCCAGGTGTTGTGGCCAGTGCCTGTATTCCCAGCTACCTGGGAAGCAGAGGCAGGAGAATCACTTGAGCCCAGGAGTTGGAGATTGCTGTGAGCTGTGATGCCACAGCACTCTACCCAGGGCGATAGCTTGAGGCTCTGTCTCAAACAACAAAAAAAAAACTCTTTAAAACTAAATTGAGATCTTGCCGGGTGTGGCTTAAGCCTATAATCCTGGTATTCTGGGTATACTAAATTGAGATCTTGCCGGTGTGGCTTAAGCCTATAATACCTGGTATTCTATAATTTGGTATTCTGAGGCGAGTGGATTGCTTGAGCTCAGGAGTTTGAGACCAGCCTGAGCAAGAGTGAGACTTTTGCCAAGTCTCCTTGGTTTGAGACCAGGAAAACTGGCCGGCACTGTGGTAGTGCCTAGAGTCCCAGCTACTTGAGAGGCTGAGACAGGATGATCACTAGAGCCCAAGACTTTGAGGTTGCTGTGAGCTATGATACCACAGCACTCTATCTAGAGTGAGACTCGGTCTCAAATAAGTAAATAAATAAATAAAATGAAATAAATGTATGAATAAATTCTGATCTTTTTGATTACTTCAGGTTGATGCTACTTATAGTAATTTTACCTCAGTTTCTTCAGGTAGACAACTAAATTTACACATAATTAACTTCGGACATTCAATGAACTCTTTGATAGAAAGGGGTATAGACAACTGTAGAACAGAATGCCTAACTTCAAGCAGTTTCCCAATAAGCCATTGGACAGAGAATGATCATATAAGAGAGGATAATAATAATAATTACTGCCAAGTACTTAATTTAATCATTTAGCCATCATAAAATTGAGAAAAGAAAAACAGCTTACACCGTGAAGTGTGCACAATTTGTTAGGCTCAGAGAGACATTAAATATAGGATTTCAGCCATGCTCCTCCAACACCCGTGCCAGGGCACATTTGCTTTCAACATCATTTTCTTCCTTTATGAGGTGCCTCACCCATGACTTTCATGTTGCTGGGTTTTGTGGTACAAAGAACAATGTATAGCCAAGCAATAGCTTATATTGCTTTAATACAAATTATTTGTAAACAACGCAGGAGGTGCCTCTTCTTTTCCCTTAAAAATCCACTGTGGCTCAGCACCTGTAGCACAGTGGTTATGGCGCCAGCCACATACACCGGGTTCGAACCCGGCCAACTAGCAATGACAACTGCAACAGAAATAGCCGGGCGTTGTGGCGGGTGCCTGTAGTCCCAGCTACTTGGGAGGCTGAGACAAGAGAATCGCTTAAGCCCAAGAGTTTGAGGTTGCTGTGAGCTGTGACGCCACAGCACTCTACTGAGGGGGACAAAGTGAGACTCTGTCTCAAAAAAAAAAAAAATCACAGACAGGAGGTGAAGGTCACTGAGGACCTAACTGACGGGGCCAGCTGTGTTATGTTCCCCCTAACCTGACAGATTCTGTCTTATTCTCACTACAGATGCTTTCCTACCCATTAAGCATTGTGTATGCTTTACCATTATCCCTGTCATTATCCAAGTCTACACAGCCATTGTGTAGCAGAGTCAGGATTTCAAAAATTCTCTTAACAGCTGAAATATATAAAGATTAGCCCAAGGCATGCCCGTGAACATGAGCCCTCCAAATTCCAGGAAAAGGAGCTGAGAGGGCGCGCGGCAGATGTCAAGAAGCCTTTTTTGGATGAGAAAGACTCATAAGCTCAGACATAACGAAACAAGTAGCCAGGGCACGAGTGTGAATGTGAGTAAAGAGTAAGGCAGTTGACAGAACAGCCTATCTGCAGTTTGGGATCCTGCAGCCGGATGGGAGTGGCGGGGAATGTGGCTAGACAGACTTCCTACAGGTCTAATCTAATTTCACACTGCGTATGGTTTTGCCCTTTATTTTCCAAAAAATTTAACTGTCGGAACAATACTATTGGAGGACACACACATGCCGCCAGTTCATGACGGGTGTTAGAAAAACCTTTCAAGCGCGAGTCAATCTACGCAGATAAAAATAACAAATGGGCTAGAAAGCTCTTAACAGCCGAATCTCGCCAGGTCGAAAGCAGATTAGGCTTGGAAGCACAGTGCGAGCCAGCTCGCTGTCTGCAGAAGACCTCTGGGTGCTCTCCGACTTCCGGCGTCCTCCGTTGCCAGGGTGACCGGAAGCGAGCCCCAACGCTCCGCCCAAGAAACCATAGAGTGCCGGAAGGAGCCGGAGCCAAACCGCTGGGCCGGGACCGTGCAGAAGGCGGTTGTGCGCTGAAATGACGACCTTAGTGCTGGATAATGGAGCCTACAACGCAAAAATCGGTTACAGTCACGAACATGTCTCGTAAGTGCTTCCTCCCAGGGACAAGCCATGTACACTTAGCGAGTTCACTTGCTACGTTTCATGTCCGCTCATCTGTGACCCCCCCCCCCCCCCCATCCCTAATTTAAGCCAGAGGGATGCTCTGGTTGGGGAGGGGTGGGTGGTTGTGATGCTTTGAACGGGAATTGATTTTGGTTTTAATTTGGGGGTGAGCGGTCCCGGAAGCCGGATGTATATTTCGTTTCGTAACAGCCAATGTCCAAGAAAAATTAGGGTTCTAGAGATGCATTCCATACCGGAGGGTCCGTAGCGAAGTTCATGCATATTCAGAAATTGCAGGCAACATTTTGGGTGTATGTGCTTTGGGGGGCATGAGGAGGACACAATTATAGGTTTAATCAGATCTTCAAAGGCTTCTATGGCCCAAAGAAGTTTAAAAGCACAGCCCTGGGGTCTAGACTTCGAAGGCTTTGGCCAGTGGCTGATCTGGATGGTAAGGTCAATTAAACAGAAATGCAGCAGTCTGCGCTTCTGTCGTCCTAGCTCCTAGGGAAGCTGAGGCTAGAGAGAATCATTTGAACCCAGGAGTTTGAAGCTCCACTGAGCCATGATCAGGCCACTGTACTCCATCCAGGGCAACAGAGGAACACTGTCTCAAAAAAGAAACAAAATAGAAATAGCACGGCATTCGTAACATGTGTAGCCATAACATGTATGTTTAAATCAAGAAGCAAAGTTAGAGACACACCCGTCCTCTGTCAAATTCAGATTGTTTTTCTTGTTTTCCCTCCCTGTTTTCTTAAAATTATACTTTGAAAAAGAAACAGGCTGGGCGTGTTTCTACAAGCTCACACCTGTAATCCTAGCACTCTGGGAGGTGGAGGCAGGTGGATTGCTTGAGGTCAGGAGTTCGAGGCCAGCCTGAGCAAGAGAACCCATCTCTAAAAATAGTCGGGCATTGTGGCAGGCGCCTGTAGTCCCTGTTTCTTGGGAGACAAGAAGATTGCTTGAGCCCGAGAGTTTGAGGTGGCTGTGAGCTCTGATGCCACACACTCTACCAAAGGTGACAAAGCGAGAATCTGTCTCAAAGAAAAAGAAAGAGAGAAAATGCTGACAGTATACTGAATGAAATAACTAAGCACAAGACTTTTTTACAGTATTACACCAATGTCATCCTATACACCTATATGTATGTTTGTATTCATACACATGTGTATGATTGATAATGACTCGTTTGTCTTTCTAACAGATTGTAAACTCATGGTGGGCAACAACCATGTTTAAAAATAGTTACTACATTTGTAAGAGTAGCATCTTGCCGATTGAAAATCTTTGGCTTCTGGCTCGCGCCTGTAGCTCCGCAGCTAGGGCACCAGCCACATACACCGGAGCTGGCAGTGAACCCAGTCCTGGCCAGCCAAAAACAATGACAACTACAACCAAAAAATAGGTGGGCACCTGTAGTCACAGCTACTTGGGAGGCTGAGGCAAAAGAATTGCTTAAGCCCAAGAGTTGGAGGTTGCTGTGAGCTGTGACACTTTGGCACTCTACTGAGGGCGATAAAGAGAGTCTGTATCTAAAAAAAAAAAAAATAATAAGGAAATGAACTAAGCTCAAACTCACAAGAAAGAATCAAACACAGTGATTAAAACTTCCAGCCAATTTTGGCTTGGTGCCTATAGCTCCTAGGGCTCCAGTCACATACACTGGAGCTGGCAAGTTCAAATCCAACCCGGACCAAAAAATAG